ACTACACTACACTACACTACACTACACTACACTACACTACACTACACTACACTACACTACACTACACTACACTACACTACACTACACTACACTACATTGTGTATATAAGTGAAAAAAGAGAGCATATAATTTCAGTGTAGTTTTATTAAATACCCTTTCTTTTGTATATTAACGTATTTAAATAAAGAGGAAAGCAAAGTTATTTTCATGCGAGAATTTGAAATCAGTTTATTTCAAACTCAATGTTTACCGATAATTCGATAAAAGGCCGTTTAGTTTTAAGAACATTTTAATACGTGTGGCGAAGCGTTTGTGGGAAGCGTTTATATTACGTATAATAACATACCCAGGATATATATGTTTGGGAAATTGATAATTTTGTTATTAAAAGTGATATTGGGGGGGGATTTTTCAATTTTAAAACTATTCTTAAAATTCATGTTTCGCTCGGCTACTCTGGTTTAAATAAATGATTGCAAAGCCCAGTCGAATTGTAATCAAGACCCAACGTTTCGACACTCCAGTCTAATGTCTTCATCAGGGGTGATCTAAAATTGCAACCGTGGCTTCTTAAATACCCACGGGATGACGTCACCTGCCAATGAGATGCATATATTCCTCTGGCAAATTGGCACCGTCATCCCTATTCAAAGCATGATTATTCATAATCATAGCGATTGCTTGTGGTAATTACTTTAGAGTTTTCCCACGCAATCTCGTGTTTGGTGTAACATACATGTTCGGCTAAAGCTTTATTGTTCGTGATGCTTTATTAGCTTTCAAATGCATGAATGATTGCGCACCTGCCTACTTATCGTCTCAGTTCAAAACGAGAGGTGAAGTGAGTGGTCGCGATACAAGAAATACTAAACAGCTGGACGTTCCGTTATACAGATCAACTGCAGGACAAAGAATATTCCATTACAGAACTGTCACTCTCTGGAACAACATTAACCCTGACTTAAAACTTTGCAAATCTATTCCAAGCTTTAAAATTAAACTGAAACGGGAACTGCTTCAGCAATTTCTAGATAGTTAGCCTAAGGGCATGTTTTTCTGTTGTTGTTGTCGTTGTTATTGTCGTTGATGTTGTTGTTGTTGTTTTTGCTGTCGTTGTTGATGATGTTGATGTACGTTGTATGCTGCTGTTGTTAATTTGTTGTCAAGAATTTGATGTTGTGTTTGTGTATAAAGTATTTGCGTGATCTTATTATATGAATTTAGGATCTGATGTATAATTATAGTAATTAATTGTATGTATATATATTTTTGTCACTGAAAAGCCCCTTTAGGGGAGTGTCAATAAAGTCAATCAATCAATCAATCAATCAATCAATCAAAGCTGATTCTCCCTTGTCTAAAGTTGAAACATCGTTTTGATGTTCTTTTAGAAGGGAAAATCAGCTTTAGCCGAACATGTATGTTACACCAAACACGAGATTGCGTGGGAAAACTCTAAAGTAATTACCACAAACAATCGCTATGGTCAAGACTTTGCCTAGAAGCATGGCATATAAATACGAGTAATCATGCTTTGAATAGGTGCCTATTTGCCAGAGGAATATATGCATCTCATTGACAGGTGACGTCATCCTGTGAGTATTTGAGAAGCCATGATTGCAATTTTAGATCACCCCTGATGAAGACACTAGACTGGAGTGTCGAAACGTTGGGTCTTGATTACAATTCGACTGGGCTTTGTAATCATTTATTTAAACCAGAGTAGCGAGCGAAACATGATTGATATACCTGGTTGCAGTGAACGAACAAACTTTATTTTTAAAATTATCGTGTTACCATGACAACTACTCTCAATTCTTCATATTCAGAAAACATAATATTTTGTCAGTAAGGCGAGGCGAGGGTTTCCGCATGCATGTATGTTCTAGTATATAGGTTAAAGGCCAAGGGAGAAGTTTTTATTCATAAAAAACAATACCTGTGTGGCCTTTAACTTTGTTCATATGCTTAGCAGACCATTTTTTTTTTGTTTTTCTGGAGGAAACACCGCATAAATTTATAACTGCAATTTATAACTGTGTTCCCACAAACAAAATTATATAATCATATGTTTTATCGCCATGCAAACCTACAAAGAACTCATTACCAGTAAGTTAGTACAGCAGCGCTAACACAAAGTTTTGCTGCCACTACGTAGTACAGTTTACAGTGCTATAGACAAGTATAATCAAATCGAGTACAGTTTAGATAGAAAGAACTGACAGTTCTGTTAGCAATACTTGCAGATACTCATCCAAGTATCATTAAGCAATAAAAGTATTACATATTTTTCTACAGTATACATCGCATTGGAACAAATTCTGAAGCAATCACTAGGAAATAATATATATTAAACTTTAAAATAGCTGAAAGCATTCAGGTGCTCGCCATCCGGCTTGGATTATTGCGCATATTCATCTTTACGTCACCAGTTGCATGGGTCAGGCGTTTTTTTTTCTAGACAGCCAATGATCAATATAATCCCAAAAGTTTGTTTCTTGTTGCTGTTTCGAATTTTAAAATTATTAAAAACATTTGAAACCATTTTGGTTCGTTACTCAGTTATATTTTAGAAGTGATTTTATGCGGCCAACGTACCACAGTTAATAATGGATGGGCCAACCTCAATGGGGCCAGCCCAAGAGGGAAAAATGGAGGGAAATTTTGAAGCGATTTGAGAGGAGTAGAAAGGGGAATATTTTTTTCTGCAACAATGCAGTTGTTGTTTAGCCAATCATATTTCGCGTTTGACATCACATGATTCCATGCAGTTCAATGATTCCATGTGCTTCTGCTACACTAACGTCTTTCTTTGATTGTTGTTTGGCCAAGCGTAAAACATGCCTTCGAAAATGTCAAGCAGTTTGAGGAAGAACTTGCCTGAGAGTGAGTTAGCTGTAGTAAGTGAATGTACTTGTTGGCAAGCAAGGCGGTCGGCACTTTGACTTTAAGTTCAAGAGAGCTCCAAAGTCTTCACCAGAATCGCCTGCTTCAGTCCAGACTAAAGAAATGCCTTGAAAAAGAAGGAATCAAAGTCAGCAAGTGTGGCTTTTGAATTCGAGTCCTCAAAAAAGGTACGATCCCAACAAGAAAGAATATACAATGAACAAATACTCAAAAGTCACAGAGGGGGAGACCTTGTGTTTTCCATGGAAATTGCCTCCGCAAACAAACAATTTAGTTTCTGTTGGTGATATTCTTGCTGGGGTCGCTGGTGCAAATGGCGAGGTGGTTTCGTTAATGGTTCGAGTCTCGTTCGTCTCAGCGGTCGAGAATATCTTCTCCTCAAGCATGAGAGGCAGGTAAGAAAGTGCGACGTTGTGGTTGTGGATGAAAACGCAATTCATTTGACTGTTTGGGAACAGCTGATAGAACAAATCAAAGTGGGAAAATCCTATATAATCAGTAACCTGAAAGCTGGCTTCTTCATTTCATTGTTCCTAAACATGACGAAGAAAACAATCGTGACTGTTCTTGAAGAAGGGATTGAATTGTCGGCAGAAGCGATCGGAAAGGCACAAGAGTGCCCAACAGTCGATTGTCAGACCAGGTGAGTTCCGAGAACCCGAAGGCGCGATTTTATGTGCTGAGGCGTCACACTCATTAGTTTGCTGCACTGTAATTCTCATATCCAAGAGGCTGAATGAAAAGAATTTGTGAAGTATTCGTCTTGTGATGTCACCTGTCTGAAACAAAAGCTCTCAACGTATATTACAGCCAAGTTGATGAACAAAGATACTGATGGAAATTGCAAAACATATCATTGCCTGATGGCAGTCTTGCAATCACTCTTTTCGCTGTTGGCCACAAGCGAAGGTTCGGGAATAAAGAAGAGTGATGTGATCAAGCTTTCTGATGACATGATTGTCTAAACCCTTCTGCAATGCGGAAAGCTAAAATCCGAAGTGCATGAACAAGACAAAAAATTACAGGCAATGGACATTAATGTATCGTAGCAAAATCGTGAAAATACTCAGCGACATTGACAACTCAGCATTGTGTTTTATAAACTATAATTTGTGTTTTATGTTATAATGTGGATTTCTTCAGTAAACTCTTTTCAATACAACCCATGCCGTTGAACTCTCATATTGCCTTGACCCACGTTTACAAGCCGTCAGACCACTTAGATTTATAATTACCTTCGTATCCTTGGCATTTTAAAACCTTTCCGCGGTCGCCGTAACAGATTTGGATTCCGTAGACAGTCGATAGCATCTTTGATGGTCGGTTGCATCATTTATGGATTATTTATGCGAGACTATTTTTACGCCAAAATTTAATTCGTACTCCCAGCTACCCATTCGCGCACATCATTTTCATTGTGTGCAAATTATGAATATATTCTCTGGCTCGTTCTCTGGCCTTGTGGAATTTATTTTACTAAAGATGGTTTTGGTCGATTTATCGATTGTTGTTATGGCAGGAGGACAACAACGATACAGGTATTTTGAAGTCGTCAAAGTACACCGGTTACCATGCATTTTACAAGAGCGTTGTGGTGAGTCTATATGAATATTTGCATGTTATGCATCAGGATTTGCACTTACGTATCTATTCGGATTTTGGGTTTTTAACATCTTGTCAAATTTAACATCTTGTCTGTTTGTTGTTATACTTTTGTGTAAAGGAAACCTTTTATATAATAAGACACATATTGAAGGCACACAGTCACCGTTTGAGCGATGTTATTTTGTACGATATATTCAATTATTTATTACAATGTAAATTTGATATTTATGTGAATTTCTTCTGGAACAAATTGAAGTGGGTGATTTGTAATTGGCTAATAACACACTAAAATTACATCGCTTAAACGGTGAACATGTGCCTTGAACCTTGATTGAGTACCCATTTATGTAGTTTTACCACTCTATTGGCCGGTGGCCTTTGATCATAAACATGAAACATCAAAGAAACCGTCCTCTCAACGCATCCTCAGTCTGGGATTACCAATAATACGTATATGTCAAACTGGCTGGCATTTACAATAGTTGTTAATCCCAAGCGATTTATCAGCTCTAGTACCCAGGACACATAAATTTATCAGGATGAGCAGTGAGCACATTTCGCGCAAAAAATATGGCGGAAGAAGTAGGATCCTTTTCTTTTGACTCGATTAATAGCGATGGATATTCGATTAATTTGAATGAAAATGAAGCTGTTGAATCAACTATTGATAGTTCGAAGGTATTAGGCAGAAAGAGAAATTTAATTTGTGCTGATGAAGCTCTACTGTTGTCCTTAAAATTTGCATAAATTTGAATATTTATAAATACAGTATGTTCTGTATGTATTTATATCATATATAGACTAATTTTACTTTTAATTTCTGTGTGATTTTGATAGACTAATCAACGATTGAAGCGGTGCTTATCGTGCAATGGTGTAAGTGGCCCAAGAGGAAAAAAATAATGCTGTCCTTGTAAAAGGAAAGAAGAGATGGAGCAAATTGCAAAAATGGGAATGACAAACCCATCAAAACAATTTGGTATGCTGACAAAACGGGTAAGAAGAATTCACTATCTATTCACTGCGGCACTGTCACGGTATTTTTAAATACTATATAAATATGTACTAGCAGTATGAATATATTTATAGATATTTCAAATGTCGGTTTTACTTCTAGTGTAAGCATTTATGTATCGGTATTCAAGATGTTGGTGAATAGTGTAATTGTAAGTCCATATTCAGTCGTATTTTGACTTCACAATACTAAAGCTGTTCTGTGATAGCGTCAACAAGTTCACATAAAAACCCACCCACACGATCATAATGTCAATTTTGAGTTTGCAGGGCTGTAGCTAGACCGATAGTTGGAGGGAGTGCATATTCATATATTCGTGTTCTGCCTGACAGATTTTTTTTGGAAGTGATTGTTTTGATGGTATATGAACATGAATATATGAATATACACCCCCACCCCCAATTATTGCGTCTAGCTACGGCCCTGCATGGTTATTTATGGCAATATGAATATGGACGTGGCCCCTAATGCCATGAAAAATGTGGAATGTATATAATGGTATTAGTCATACTACCTTCAACATCATTTTATAGTTTATAGTTTATATGCATGTCACCATTTGGTTATCTCTGGCCCTTTGCTTATCTCTGGCCCTAGAACCATGACAGTTGAATTTGATCGCGGAAACATCTAGGCTGCTACCCTGCATTTGCTTCAAATCAAATTTATTTTTTCATTTGCTAGCTCAGGATTTTTTCATTTGATAGCATATTGGCACAGTAATCTCAATGGCAGATAAAATTCCACAGTTTCCTGTCTATTTGCATAACAGTTATCCAAAATGTATAGGGTCTGTGCCTTGACAGGATTTATTTTAACCAAGGCTGGATTTTGGTGGAATTGTTGGGGAGGTGGAAAAGGTTTAGGAGAGGAGCAGCAGTCCATCTTATGTGATGAAATCACATGAAATGTTAGGGGGCTTAATAGAAAGTCCCCCTCTATCCCCCAAACGCAAAGTATGTGTCATTATGATTGTATACTCATCCAATTTTGTGCTTCATTGCATTACTAGAAAGTTCTTTTTAAACATTACATTAAAAGGGTGCTTGAATAGCTATATCACTGTTTCAATCAATTTTACAGAAAAACTTTCTTTCTTATGATAGACCAAGGTGGAAATGTGACACATTTTTATGTGTTGATTAGGGTTTACCGGTATTCTACTCACGATTAAGTTGCATTAAGATGTGGCCTACTTTATTATTTTACTCTGTATGCTGTTTCTGTTCAAAAGTGTGCTTTGACATTTATCTTTAATCCAGGATTAAGCTAACTCTAGATAGGCAGGTTCTCATAAAAATGTATATATATATATATATATATATATATATATATATATATATATATATATATATATATATATATATATATATATATATATCTTATCCAAAAACTTGTTGATATTGGCGTTAGGCGATCGTTAATACCATGGATCGTAAACTTTCTATCAGGGCGAAGACAGCGGGTCAAACTTGCAGAAGCTGTTTCTTGTTGGCTTCCTGTCACAGCCGGTGTCCCCCAAGGTACGAAGTTGGGTCCGATCCTGTTCTTAATTATGGTCAATGATTTACAATGCGGTTCGGGGAGGCCAAGCAATTGGAAATTCGTTGATGATGTTACTATCTCTGAGGGATTATTAAGGAATGGGGAACCGTCTGTAATCCAGTCTGATTTAACTTCTATAGCTACATGGGCATCTAATAACCTGATGAAATTGAACGCAAAGAAATGCAAAGAGATGCAAATTTGTTTCTTTCGGAACAAACCTGAACTACCACACTTGTGTGTTGAAGACCAGATCTTAGAATGTATATCGTCGCACAAGGTTCTTGGATTGATTATCCAGGATGACCTTAAGTGGAACGAACATATTTCGATGATTGTTACCAAAGCATCCAAGCGACTGCATATCCTACGTGTCCTACGACGGGGAGGGATCCCACCGCACGACCTTATCACAATTTATTATGCATTGATTAGATCTACATTAGAATATTGTTGTACAGTATGGCATTGTGGTCTACCTATGTATCTGTCTGAACAAGTCGAGAAAATTCAAAAACGTGCACTGAGGATTATACTGCCAGGTCGATCCTACGGTGAAGCGCAAGAAATGTTGCAGCGTCCTAGGCTGGATATACGTCGAGGTGAACTTTGCGAAAAGACGATAAAAAATATTGCATTGGGCAGTCGTCTTTCTTCCCATCTAACTCTCACCAGTGAAAACGAACATGTGTATAATTTAAGGAATTTTAAACAATTCGCTTCTTTTAAATGTAGAACTGATAGATTTGGTAATAGTTTTTTCCCTAGCATGATTAGTGTTTTAAACAAATAATTGTTCTTAGTTATAAGTTCTTATTTAATAATCTAATGAAACATTGTAATATAGTTACTTTTAGTATTGTAATTCCCATTCAAATCAATTGTAAAACACATTGTAATTCATTTTCATGCGATGATGTGTTATTAAAATACCATTATTATTATTATTATTATTATACCATTATTATATATATATATATATGACGAGGCGTTGAACGCCGAAACATGCATGTCTGCAGATTGTACTATATATATATATATATATATATATATATATATATATATATATATATATATATATATATATATATATATATATATATATATATAACGTTGTTTTATTGTTCACTTGGTAATATGATAAGGAGAAAATGTTCTTGAGTGCGATATTCCATAATTTCCAGACAGTGAAGGCAGAAAACTTTGCCTGCCACTGTTACGAAACCTGCACAGCCTTAGAATTACTATATTGACGAATTACTAGAATTACTAGATTGATGCTCTAGTAACTGAGCTGCACGGTCTGGACAAATCGAAGACTGGAAATTATGAACTAGTATTGTTTGATACTGAATTAATATTTTTGTAAGTCTGTCAAAATATAATACACTCTACAGTTGGATACTGATTGAAGACTTTAGCTTTGAAAATGATTGCATTAATGGTATAGTACTGCCTAAATATTTAAGCAGTATGCCATGTTGGGTGTGATACTTGTAGTCACGTTTTAATGTTCGAATTAAAGGTGGAAGTTATATCAGAAAGTGTCGAACTAGCGCCGTGATTTTGACAAGATGTTGGAATTACTGCCATTTCGTTTCAATATTACTGATGAGCTCACACCAATCATTTAATAGAAAGTAAAATTTAGGTTTCTAGCTAGGGTTTGCTAATGTAGTCCATCAAGATAAGTTGATTGAAAACATAATGACATAAGACAATTTAATTAGGTTGACACACTTACCACTCTCAGAAGGATGGAAAGACCTAAATACAGGGTATTGAACGAGTCCTTCAGAAACATCCTATTATTGCTATCCTTGTTAACCCATATATTGACAGTACCCTACCACTGACTGAGTATTAAAAATCGTCTGGCGTTGAACAGGGTAAATACTAAAGTAGGGGTCATTACTGTGCTGATGGATTAACAAGAGACATTGGCAGAGTTCACTCGACCCAGTCTTTCACGCCGATCTATGTATTGTCGAGATCTCGATCTTGTGTTTGTTAAGATGTCGTAAATTCCGGGGGGGGGACGGACGGGAGGAGTGCGAGAAAAATATTAAATTGCGCGTGCACATATTTATATCAATTATATGGCTGCAAAATATACGAACATTTCCCAAAGAAACCAAGTAAGTATGGCTTTATTTCTTTGTGCTAATATCCATCAAGGCCATGAACTGTTTAGCGTTCATTCTGGAGACAAGCAATGTGCTTTTATGTCATGCGTTTACGGCGCTTCTTTAATGGTCGTTTAGAACATTTGATAATGTCTTATAAATACAAGGAGACAAGATGTACTTAAGAACTCTGAAGTATTTCATGAATTTACCGGCAGTGTATAATAGCCCACCAGATCTATTCGTCAATAATGCCTTATTTACGAGTCACAATGTACTCAGTTTTAATATTTGTTTGTTATGTGCCAAGACGATGAGTATAGTGTTCATTTCTAGATGTTTATAGTTTAACAACAAATGCGGAATGTTGTTAAATCAGGCTTACTGTGATAAGATCCCTAGAGCAACCCAGTGTGGATTGTTCTCTGCACATATTGACTTTATACCAGCAATGTGATTACATGTAATAGTATGTCAAAGTAGTTCTGATTTTTGTATAGGATATGACTGTGTGTTTATTGTTAGCATAATATGAAATAATCCTACCAGCTTACATTCATATATATAATATATTCAGCTGTGTCAGGGCTAGAATTTTATCGCGGCAATTGCCGCAGAGGGAGAACAAAACGCCGTGGATTTTCATTGCGGCAACGACGGCATTTTTTTGCTGTATCAGTGGTGCAATCTTATACTATTCACTGTGCATTACTATTTTGATACTTGAATTCAGATGTTGATTAAATCATGCGTAAATCACTATTTTAGTCTCAGTTTTCTTCGAAAAAAAATTAAAACACTAAAGAAATACGTAGACATGTTTCTAGCTTGACAAAAATCCAAAGGCAAAGTAACAATAAAATTAAAGTTTTATTACAGTAATTTGAATGCGGTGGAAACTGTCAAAATTGCCGTAGACAGCTGTTACGTTCTACGGCAATTTTTAACACCATTGCCGTCGATTGATTTCAGGGAAATTCTAGGCCTGATCTGTGTCACTACATTTCACAGTGTATTATATTTTTCGATAATGCTCACAATTAGAAATGTCAACAAATAGATACAGTATTGTCTCCCCATCAGCATATTGTGCTGTTGTTCTGTGATATGGGCAGCCTTGAAGATGGCATTAAAACAATAATTGGAACAAACCCCGACTTAGGGCCTGTTTACATGGAGGCGAGTTACCCGGCAGGTATTTTCCGCGGGTGGCGGGTGACAGGTAGCGGGTGACGGGTAGCGGTAGTTCTCGTAATTCATATGTTGAACACCTAGAATAATTTACGCAACCTCGTTCCCAGGGCTTTCGTATCAGGGCGAGGCGGAGAGACGAGAAAGCCCTGGTCTGGGCCGGTCACATGACTACTAAAATATGGATATATTTGACAGCTACTCGTCAAGGAGTGGCGAAATATTCTTAACTGGAAATTATATGCAAGTCTTCGAAACAAATAAACAGTGTAGCGAAGTTTGGCACAAATACCAATATTTCTGGAGATTTTCAACCACAGTGACAGGCAAAGCCAAAGGCACAACTGTATCTGAACATGATTTCCAAGCTGCATCTAGGCGTCTCCAAGTGGTGATTCACACGAAATTTGGTTTCTCTCGTCTTTAACAACATGGCTATTGCCTTTAATATTTGGTTTAAATAATTATGCTCTTAGGTCTGACTTAGTTCGATATAAATAAACACAAATATAAAACCTTGGGTATTAATTACCTGTTTACGCAGCATGTACAGGAATATACAGTTTGCTTCGATCGCCAGAAACCAATGCTTGCATACAAATTTTATCCCTTTCACAATCTTTGTTTTATTTTATCGTATAGTCACAATTTTCAAGTATTCGGGGTATTCTGAAACTGTAAAACTCGGTGGCGTGACAAATCTTATAGAGACTACATCGGCCTAGGCGCAGAGCTATTAAGTAAACCGGGCCTAAATTAATTTAATAGTTTCATTTAATTGTTTGTCTTGCTTTTATTTGTATCGATCAGTATAGAATATTGTAAATTAAAATATTACTACAATGCAATACGCGTAGTATTTCATCAGACATCTGCACTACATTATAAATACTGTACAAGGAAAACTACGTAGTAGTCCACCGACTATAAAGTAGACGTTTCTTGTTTTTCCATGCAGGAAACATCACAGCTAACGTCAACATAGCTTTTGAGTTTTGTAACCGGCCGAGCCGAAAGTAGCTAAATCATGCAGTCGGGAAAACCGAAAACTTCTTACTTTGAAAGATTATTTTTCAAAATACACTTGTACAGAGTTTGGGTAATGGTCGAGGGTCGAGGGTCATATGTCGAGGGTCATAGGTCGAGGGTCGAGGGTCATAGGTCGAGGTTCGAAAGTCGAGGTCGAGGGTCAAAAGTCGAGGTCGAGGGTCAAAAGTCGAGGGTCGAAATTCAAGGGTCGAAAATGGGAAATATTACTTTTTTATGAATACAGTTTTAGAATAATACATTTTTGGCATTTGTTGTCAAAATTTTAAAGGTTCTCCTGATAACTAACTTCATTACTGTTAGTACAGAAAATGCCTTGGGGCATAATTAGGTTCCTTTTTGTTTTTCGAGAAAGTGTAAAATTACTAAAGCTATTCGTGAACGTACGGTGCCGGTGGGGTGATTCGAAAATATATTGTATTTATCGTACTATCAGAACGAATCGAGTCCCAGCGCAGCAAAAGTCTCTCACAATGGTCGTAAATTCTGAACCAGACTAAAATCACCCTGTTATAAAGATTTGTGCTTCGTGCATGTTATTTTTGACAGAATAACTGAAGAAAGTTTCCATTTTATTACACTACAACGTTCTCGCAACTATATTATGAATATGAAACTGTCAATCGAACATGTGCACTTCCGATGCAGACACGATGTTATAAAATATATAAATATCAACTGTTTCTCGCACACCCTAATCAGACTCGTCCCCAGTCGCTTTAAGAGCGGGCGCGCGGCCAGAAGTGGGCGCGTAGAGGCTCACGGGAAGGGCGAAAGAAGAAAATTTAGCGACTGGCAGATTACTGTGATTTTTCTTGCAAGAAAGTGTTTTTCTTGCAAACTAATATTTTCAGCTTCAAGTTTGGATTTTTGACATTGGTATACATAAATCGATCATTTTATGATGTAGTCTCTGCAAAGTGCGTATTTTTATCAAGTATATCGGCCTTCAATTGGTCAAGTCTGGAGTACTTCAAAATGGCGGACTCTGATGAACTTAGATGGTGAGTCTAAAAGATAATATAATACATTCTACCACTTGAATGTCTTGAATCTGTTGACCCTTTGAGCCGTAGCATAAATTTGCGTATACTAAAAAAATTAAGAAACCGGAAACATTATACGCTCGGCTGATTAGCGCCATGTTGCCTTGTTTCAAGTTGTAATTTTTGTCGTTCTGAACTATAGACTTCAATTCCATAAATTCAGATGAATGTCCTAAGACCAGCACTCCTAAAGCGAGAAAGTTACTGCCATCAAACACTACCTAACACCAGATTCTAAGAGTTGACGTCAAACACTACCTAACACCAGATTCTAAGAGTCCGGGATTACTTGGAACTAAATGCAGGAAAGTTATTCAAGATTGGAACTTGTATTTTTAATAAGTCACTTCAAAAGTCCAATCTTTGAATGTGCAGATGATGTTAGCACATTTGTTCCTGGAGATCTTCAGGGATCTTTAAAGAATATATGCATCAAAACAGATGGGTTGAGATTTAAACAAGAGGATGTTGTTACTGAGGGGGAATGCCTCTTAGGGCTCGTTCAGACTGAGTGCCCGGCACTGGTGCCCAATGTTCAAAATGGTTCACAAAACATGTTGAGCACAGTGCCGTTGTTGAGTACTACCTCTAGAGGTAGTGCCCGTTCTTGGGCACTGTGGCCAATTTCATTTGAAAGCGTCATGTTCAAACTGGGAGCCAAAACAAGGAGATTCGCCCCCCCAGGAGATTCGCCCCCCCTCTCAAAAGGGGGGCGATATTCCTAGGATATTCGCCCCCCCGGGGCGAATCTCCTAGGCATATCGCCCCCCAGGGGGGCGAATCTCCTAGGAATATCGCCCCCCTTTAGGAATTTCGCCCCCCCCCCATATAAATTTTGAATTTTTGATCTAAAAACAAAACGATTGCAAGTTGAAAAGATTTATTGTGTGATTTATTTATTTATTACAAGGAGACAAAATTACATACACATTTTAGTCTTCTTAGCAGCTGGTGGTGTGCACAGTCTGCATAACCACTCATTTGAGGTACTTAGACTAGTGTCATATTCTACACATCTAAAGTGGAACCATCGCAGAGATCGCATAAAATCATGTTGTCTTATTCTTCTGGCAGTTTACATTCACATAACATATTATTAAAACAATCGCTTGCAAATTTTATCAATACGAGTGTTAACAATAGCCGCCACAGTAATCACTTGCTAACAATAAACTATAGGATTAGTAAAAAATCTATGGAATGCGTTGGGTAGCGTATTGACTATTGTCCGTTGAATCGTCAACTTTCCGTGTCAGTGATGTAATCTTGATTCTTCATTTCCACAAAGAAAATTGCATTATATATGTGGTGTGGTTTATTTATTTTATGAGAATGTAACTCTGCAAAACTAAAAGCATTCTTGCCTTTTTTGAAACGTATACTATTGGATTATTGCCTATTGGCAAGTTCTACCCTTCGCTTCTGAGATTTACAAACTATATTGAAATAATGCAAGTAAAAAATAGTGACAAACCATACATTCCGATAACGACAAAACGTGGATGCAAAACAATACCAATAATTACAATAACCACCACGGTGATTACTTTTTAACAATGAGTTTAAGGATTAACACTGAGCATGAAAATGCAAAATATGCATGGTGTGCTGTGAAGCGTCATAAGTCCTATTGAGTATTGATCTACTGTAACTGTGTAAAGCCCTTTCGATACATGTAATTGTAAATTTGTATTCTTACATGCAGGGCTTGAAATAACGTTTCCAAAGTTCCCGATCATGGTGATCGGCAGTCGTGACTTTCCCTGCTTTTTTTGGAAACCGAAACCCTGCTTTTCCGCCGATCATAAGCAATTCCTTGCCGATCATTGATCGGTGATCGGTTGTTATTTCAAGCTCTGTCTTAACAATTTTTAATTGATACTGATTTCAAATTATTAAAGCTATGTAATAAATATCCCATGCAACTGTTAGGAAGGGCGAAATTTTGAACGGAGGACGAAAATCCTAAAGAAAAGATGAAGTTTCTAAAGGGGGGCGAATTTCCTAAAGGGGGGCGAAATTCCTAGGATTTTCGCCCCCCTGGGGGGGCGATATTCCTAGGAATTTCGCCCCCGGGGGGCGAAAATGTAGGGGGGGGCGAAAATCCTGGGACACCGGAATGATGCTGTTCCGGTATTCCTGGTTTCACTAATAGCCGTATTTCGTCGCTTGGCGTAAGAACTACAACGTCTGTGAGCAGGCTAGAACATGTCCGCAGAGTGTGCATTTTGCTTTTTAATTCAACTTAAAAATTAAGGTACTTTTATATAATTAAGAGTCAGTTTTTTTATTTAACCGAACAGCAAACAAAGATTTAATTAGTCAGTAATGTGCACGGCTTGACTGCCAAGCTTTCTCAAGGTCTCAACTTGCTGGACGCGGATATACTCTAACGGGCTAACAACAGCAACAATGAAATTCTCAATCGTACCACGAAGAAGGCGATGTAGCTCAGAAAACAACGCCAGTAGGACCTGATAAATATAAGACTTTTGCCGGCGAAGCCAGTTGGCAGAACATCTTGCTGTCAACAACAAGCTTTCGAATACATGATTAGTTTGGCTGTTCTTTCAGCGTCGTGTGTCCAAAATTCGTCAAAGATTTTGATAAAGCCCTTTCAAAATACTATTTGTTTGATTTATTTTCTGCCATAAAGCATAAAAATTCGAAGAAATCAATAGACAATAATGGAATTTGTTACGTGCGTTTGACCTTTATATTAATTGTCGCCTTGAGCCCTTGACCGAGCTATTTTTAAAACTTTTGTTTATGTGAACTTGCAACCAATCAAAATCTTTCATGATGCTGATCAACCAATCAGATTTCCCGTCCACCAGCAATCTCGAAACCAGAGCCCGCAACCCTCAGCAAGCCTCCACACATGATTGCGGGCTCTGGTTTCGAGATTGGTCCACCAGATGGACGGGAATCCCACCGTTTAGACAGGTTTTGTGTCAGGCCCTATTCTGTGATTAGGGCCTGAACTTCAGGTTAACCTTACATTAATGCGATTAGCTGTATACAACTGTTACAGTCAAACCGGATGTTCTGTATAAATTCAGGGAATATTGCATACGGTAAAATCATACGACATATGCAGTAATAGCAGTATGGCTTGCCTTATTCTGTTTAGATACTGATATATGTTATATGTACGGCTGTACTACAGTTAGGCTGTACTACAGTTATAAATATTGCAGTATTAAATATAATGACTAGGAAAAGTAAATAGACCCCTTCCCGTGTTATACATGTTGGCAGGCAAATGTATTTTAAAAGCTCCAAAGGCAAGAGAGCTTCGTATTATTATGGTGTGTATCGTTTTCAACATTGTAAAAACAAGTTAATCAACTTCAAACAATCTCAAAATAATTTCAACATAAATTTCAACACATTACAACATACTGTATCACCCAAATATTTTCAATTTATGTTGCTAGTCTAGTGGGGCAGCACATTGTCATGCATACTCATATGATCTTCAAGTTCAGTGGCAATTTCAAACTCAGCATTGCAGACACAACAGATATAACCAATACCAGTTGCTTCTCTTGCTTCTAATTCCTTACAGACATCACATTGGTAGGACGTACCATGGTCTTCAGCCTTGTGCTGATATAAACTTTCAATATCAGGGAACTGTTTGTTGCATTTGTCACAGACAAAATGATCTTCACTCAGAATCTCATTAGCATGTCCTTGACCTTCAATAATTTCTTTGCCACAGGTGTGGCACAATAATAAGCCATCTCTCCAGTGTGACCTCCAGTGACGTCTGAGACTTTGTCGTTTTGCGAATGTTTTCTTGCAGATACCGCACCCAAAACTCTGATTTCTCTTGTGTGCTGACGTTTTATGTCGTGTTAGCTTGTGTGATTCTGAAAATCTCTTGTTGCAAACGTCACATTGGTAAGGTTTGTCTCTAGTGTGTGTTCTTTTATGCCTAGTTAAGTGGCTTGAATGAAAAAATCTCTTCTTACAAACATCACATTCATAAGGTCTGTCTCCAGTGTGTGTTCTTTTGTGTGTAGTTAAGTGGCCGGAGTGTGAAAATCTCTTCTTACAAAGATCACATTCATAAGGTCTGTCTCCAGTGTGTGTTCTCTTATGTTTAGTTAGGGTGCTTGAGTCAGAAAATCTTTTATTGCATACATCACATTTATAAGGTTTGTCTCCAGTATGTGTCCTTTTATGTATAACTAAGGTGCTTGAGTGCGAAAATCTATTGTTGCAAACATCACATTCATAAGGTTTGTTCCCAGTGTGTGTTCTGTTATGTATGGCTAAGCTGCCAGAATGAAAAAATCTTTTATTACAAATATCACATTCATAAAGTTTCTCTCCAGTGTGTGTTCTCTTATGGATAGCTAAAACGTCTGACCGCGAAAACCTTTTGTTGCAAACATCACATTCGTAAGGTTTGTCTCCAGTGTGTGTTCTCTTATGTGTAGCTAAGTTACCTGAATGCAGAAATCTTTTGTTGCAAACATCACATTCATAAGGTTTGTCTCCAGTGTGTGTTCTCTTATGGGTAGCTAAGTGGCTCGACTGCGAAAATCTTCTGTTGCAAACATCACATTCATAAGGTTTGTCTCCAGTATGTGTTCTTTCATGTTTCAGCAAATCTCCTTTCGTAGAAAATACCTTCTTACAAACATCACATTTCCTAGACATGGTTTCAGCTTTTGATCTTTTCCCAAATTTCCCCGTACGATCACACGTGCGGTCAAATTTCGATTAAAAATATCACCCAACTGTTCCCTCGAGTCTGTCTTTACTGAATCTTTATAATACTTCGGTTCTTACAGAACTTCTGATCGGAAAAATGAGAATATTCAGAGATAGAGTTTGCAAACAACACGAGTATCAAAATATGGCGCCCAGAAAGAATTCATCTGGTGTTTCCACTTTACAAAAACAAAAATTATTGATGTGCGAGATTTCGCAACAGATACAGACAGCATATGGTAGAATAAAAGCAAAAACACAAACGAAAAATTAAATTAACCCACCTTCATGGGAAGGTATGGAGACTTTTGGGGAGAGGAAACTGATACATCTCTCTCGCAGGGAAATTTTTTGCCAAACCAACCACTGGTTTCATGTTTTAAATTTCATTTAATATTAATGATCTATATAAATCGTAATTGTTATATAACAAAACAGGAATTTAGGTTTCTTGAAGGTTTTGAGGGTTTTTGAATAAATGCTAGTGATCTTGTGACATGAAAACATGACCAAAATCAATCAGTGATTCCCACAAGCTACAATACAGGGACGTCGATACCGGTGTGTGTGTGGGGGTAAAACACGCCACCCAAATAATTCAAAACGTTGGTCAAAATGGAAAATATTTGCTTAAAATTGAAGGTCAAAGTTTGAGACAAAAGATGGTCAAAGTTTCTAAGCTTTGGTCATGTTTGCACTGAAAGAATTGCAAGCCTTGCTTACAGTATTTTGGGCGAATAAATTTGAAGCTTTGCTTATGTTAGACGGAAAATTCCC